CATATTGCCTGAATCCCCTCGCAGAATGGAGGTGAGATGTATATCCTTGTTAGGCTTCTCAAATTCACAAAAGAATGTCAACTGATCCTCTAACTCAGCTTCAAGTTAAAAGTGCCCAAGCCAGGTAATTGTCAAGGATTACAAATCTGAATTCTCTTGGGCTCTATTCAAACACTTAGTCAAGAGAAAAATATTTGTAGAGAAGGGCTTGTAGGATAGACAATCTATTAAGTCCTCCAGATGAGTGCTTCTCAATTTCTCTTAACAAGGGAGATAATAAAATTAGTATTTATTAAAAACAACGTTGCTCTTTGACACCTGGTACAGCACTTGCACTGACCAGTCGGGATGGATGGTGGCTGTAAAGGACTATACTGCACTGGTTGTGTCTTTGAAGATGGAGTTCCTTTGCGTATTGTGAAGTCATGTGGAGCCCCTCACCCACCATTTCCACATGATAATAATTTTACTTCTAGTGTCTCTTGTCAAGTAGAGAATGAGAAAACAAGCCTCCATGAATTCTGTACCAAATTTAAGTGTATTTTACAATCATAATAATATCTATACATATTTGAACATTGTTCATATATCAGTGAGTGAGACAATTATTTATGGCATAAATATATGGGCACTACCTTTGCAAAAACTTTAAGTTTCGCCAGGAATTTGTTGTGCAGAAGTTAGAAGTCACAGAGTAACCTAAGTCAGTTATGCTGTGTGATCACCAGATGAAAACCAAAAACATCTCTTGGAGGGTGCTGACGGCCTGGTTTGTTATGTCACACAATGCCAGACCCCTTCAGTGAAATTTTTCATTTTATTTATGAAAAACTATTGCTTTTCTTCTTGGCAAATAGTTTGATTTTATCTTTGGGAAGCAGAATCATATGATGGACAAAACAATTTAACCGTTAGAAAATCTGGAGGCAAATGTGCCACTTTCCTATAACGGGCAAATAGTGCTTCATGGAAGGTATTTTATATCAGCCTCATTTCATTACTATTGTATTCCCGTGCTTTCTCATCATCATCTATCTCTAATTTCTTATCTTGACATATATGTCTTTGATAGATAACGTAAATCTTTTTCGGAATATAGCTGGATATCAATACACAAGTGGCTGCTGTCTATAGGTTGGCAAGTCGACGTAAGCAAAAGGACAGAGGTATGTATTTGTTGATTCCTTGTGTAAGCTCTCTGGCCAATTGAATATGATGTCAAGATTTCTCTGCAAATCCTGTAAGCCCCTGCTTCCCTTACAAGGTGGATAGGTGCGGTATAGCTGGGGAAATCACTGGAGTGAGAGGAAATTCTGGGCTTTAATTGTTAGCTTTGGTGTTAACTAACAGTATTACCTTGCTCAGGGCTTTGAGGCATTTGTTCTTTTACAAGTCAAGCGTTGATCAGTTCAGAAATCAGAGCTCAGTGCTTTCAGGGGTCCAAGGAACTCTGTAAGACAAAGGCAGAGGTGGGTACTTTGGGAAATGGAGAGCCCCTGCCCCACCTGAGGCACACCAACCTTTTCAGTACTCTGTGCCAGCTGAGCAGTGGGGGTCAGATTTGCCCAGAGGCTGTCAAGTGTTTCTTTTTCTTTTCTTCTTTGTATAACCCCTGGTCCCAGTGATCCTGCAGGCTCCCGCTGTTCTGTCATTCCGTGCTGATAATTCCATTTTTCAGCAGAGTGCACCTCTTTCAGGCTAGGCAAGTGTGAAGAACGAAATGACAGCCAGAGTGTGAGCTGAAGTAGGGGATCGCAGGCGGGGAGACAGGAGAACCCTTTTAAGAATTCATTGACAGCCTCCGGCACCAGGGCAGAGCTGCAGCTGGTTGGGGAATGGTAGCAGCTCACAGACCTACATGACAGGCTGCTGGGAGGGGCGGGCTTTCCTCGCCGAGCTGGACTTTGGACTGACCGTGAATCTAAGAAGCAGAAGCACAAATAGTGACAGGCGGTAATAAATAACTCTTTCCCAGCTTCCCTTTCTTCCCTCCCCTAGACCCTTAGGCATCCAGCCTACTTTCTGCTCCTTTCAACAGCGTTCTCATTATATTCTACCCGTCACTCAAGTGCAGTTCAATCGCCAGTTTCTCCTCGAAGCCCTCCTGTCTCTGCTGTTGGAATTCTCTGTGCTCTGTGTTTGGTTTGGATTTCACTGGGTGCAGACTGCATTCTACCAGGCACTGGTATTATTATACATAGTCTGTTTTCCCCTGCTGGAATGTAAGCTGCTTGGGAGGAGGGATCACCTCCCTGCTTTTCTGTCTCCCTCTTGGTGCCTAGAACAGTGTTTTGTCAATCAGGTGTTCAGGAAATAAGGTAAAAAAGCCTCGGCTCTGTGTCCAGAAACACAGACTCAGTCTGGGCTGCTGGGCCCATTAGCTATGTGACTTTGGAGGAATTAGCAACCTCTCCAAATTTCAGAGTTTATTATTAGTTGTTTGTTTTTAGGATTATATGATAAACTTGCACACAGTTCTCAGCATAATAATACCTGTTGCCTGGATAAATGTTAAGAACTATGTTGCTTCGTGTTGCATTCTATGCTCACTGTAGCCAGTCCCTTTCTTCATGCGTGTTGATGAAAAATGGGGCTTTGTGAATGAAGGCTTTAAGATGGACCAGAAATGTACTGACAAAAATTGGAAAACAAGGATTTGGCATCTTAGATTTCGAGGAATAGGGAGAAAAGGTAACTGCTATTGGAAAGCAGAAATTGCAAACTAATTATGAAGAGGAGGCCTGAGGTAAACAGAGTAAATTTAATTAAGATGAGCAGTTGGTTGGGCTGTCCAGAATGACAAATGTTTTTTCAAAAAAAAAAAAAAAAAAGGATAGAGTCAGAAGTAAAAATGAGGTAAAAAGTGAGAAAAATTCAAAGAGAAAATCTCCTTGTGGAATCTGTCCTAGGACTAGGGTGCATAGCTGCGGTGGAGAGGGACCAGGAATTCCTATGTATGGATACCTGAGGGTTGAGCAACCCACCTAGAGGCCTAAAGCTGTGCCTGGGACAGGAGATTCATACCAGATCTCACCAGAAAGGACCAGGCATCCTCAAAGCTCAGGGAAGAGGGGTCCTATCTTCTCTGGGAGTGAAATAGCCTCAAACTGAAAAGTCCTGCTCACCTGTAAAAACATGCTAAGCACAAGTTGGTGACAGCTATGGACTAGTAATCTCCCTCTTTCCCTAGAGCCAGGCTTTCAAAATTCCTTATAATTTTGCAAGTTGATCTTCATTTCTAAAGCACCTATGAAGTGAGTGAACTAAGGTTGCAATAACGGAAGGATTTGGGAGTGGATGAAGTTTCATATGAAGCCAAATAATCAGAGGTTGCTGGCTGAGCATGGAATTAAACTATCATATTTCATTACTTCTAAGATACATATATTATCACATTTATTATGATATGTATTAGACAATGGTGTCTTATTATCATGCTGGCCAGGCAGCAGTCGAGATGTGCTTGTCAAAATCTGCATAACTTAAAGTCAAAAGTGCTAGCATCAAAACTTGCATAATGGGTGCGTGTGACTTTTTGAATTAGGGTTTTCTCAGGGTAGATGCCCAGTAGTGGGATTGCTGGGTCGTATGGTAGTTCTAGTTATAGTTTTTTAAGGAACCTCCATACTGTTCTCCATAGTGGCCGTATCAATTTACATTCCCACCCACAGTGCAAGAGGGTTCCCTTTTCAACATACCGGTATATTAATGGACATATGTGGAATCTAGAAAAATGGTACAGATGAACCTGTTTACAGGGCAGGAATAGAGACACAGATGTAGAGAATGGACATGTGGACACGGTGGAGAGAAGAGGGTGGGATGAATTGGGAGATTGGGATTGACATAGGTGCCCTGCCATGTGTAAAACAGATAGCTAGTGGGAACCTGCTGGATAGCACAGGGAGCTCAGCTTGGTGGTTTGTGGTGACCTAGATGGGTGGGATGGGGGGGGGTGAGGGAGGGAATATATGTATACATATAGCTGATTCACTTCGTTGTACAGCAGAAACTAACAACATTGGAAAGCAACTATATCCCAATTAAAAAGAACAAAAACCTTGCAAAATGGGTCAGCACCTTGGGAGAAAATCTGGAGACACATGTGAATAACTGTTTTAAGAAATGTGAACTCGCCACGACACTGACGGCACAGGGGCTGGAAAAGAACATGAGTGGCTCTTACACAGAAAGTGCTTAGGAAGAATCAGGTTTACATTGTGAAGAAATTTCAAAAAGAGTTTTTATTTCACTTATATTTTTCAATTTATGTGGGTAGAAGATAAAAATGCCTAAATCAGTTTCTATCAGCTAAGACTCAACAAGAGGCTGTTTACACAGGCGGTAGGGAAACACAGGGGTAGTGGAATAGTACTGTGACCTGGGAATGGTAACAGCAAAGCCTTTGCCACCACTGGGCAAAGGGCTGGGGTGCAAACTAGAGGCCAGAGTGAGAGAGTTGTGAGATAGGGCTTAGGAGGCGGGAGCACAAGTGACCCTGCAGGGAGAGAGGTGGGGGGAATAAACATCCCCACCTCTCTCTCCCTCATTCTCTGATCTCTTGCAGGGGCTCCCCATTGGTCATACCCAGTTGGAATTCAGAGGTAAGAGGATCCATTTACGTAACCTACCAATTTTCAAGCTTTTTGGTCTCAGAACTCCATTATGCTCTTAAAAATTATTGAGAACTTCTGTTTATGTAGCTTATATCCATTGATACTTACCATATTAGAAATGAAAGCTAAGAAACTAATTAAAAAGTAATAAACCCATTGTATGTTAATACAAGAAAAATTTCAATGAAAAACAGCTCCTTGTTTCAAAAGCTAGTGAGTATGTGGCATTGTTTTACATTTTGGAGAAATGCTAATGTTTGGCTTCATGGAGGACGCCTGGATTTTCACGTTGATTTCTGCATTCAAAACGTGGTGACATATTATTTTGGTTGAAGTGTATGAAGAAAGTATAGCCTCACACCTACCTGCAGTTAGAAAAGGGGTCTTTTAAGTATCTTTTCCAAAAGTCATGTATAGTCTTCTTTAATCTTCTTTAATAATGCACCAAAGCTCAGCAAGTAGTTTCTTAAAGGTTAGTGCAATGTGGAATCTGAAATTATAACAATGAACTTTTTGTATTTGGTTACATTAAAATCCATTGGTCTATATCACACTTTGAATGTACCTTTTACCCATGCATGATTTTGTAGTTTTATGCCTTGGTCATTTGGAAAATATGGGTTTAGTGAATTAGGCAGATCTACTACATATTGACACATTTGAATATACAATATCCAAAAAAATAACGTATCTGAAAAATCTTTAAACTTTGGGAAATTGTCAATCTCATTGTAGCAGATATGTTTCAAAAATTCTAATATTTGCTTAAAAACTCAAATTTTATCATGGGCAGCAAATATGTCTTTCTCAAAATGATAGACTCACTTGTGTTATTTTCAAGAAAATACCTGCCAAAAGCCAATTCTGAGTAACTACAGTTTATCTGTTAGTCTTATTTCCAAATGGTGTTCCATGAGAAAAGCAGATATTCAGCCTGCAGTTGAAACAATCCTGTCGATGCTTTTCTTGGAAATAACCATCATGCTTTGGTGTACCACAGAAGTATGCTTTATGCATACTGCCATTTCATTACATGGAATATTAAAAAGACATGGACGCAAAAGATGTGAGACTGAATGCAATTAATACTGTTTTTTTGCTGTTTTGTCATGGGCATTCTTAAATGAAACCGGCATTTCTTAAAAGATTGGGTTAGTGAAGAACACAGTGACTACCAGCAGGTTGGTGCCACTGCCTTGATTCCTGCTAAGGCTGCAGAAGTTTTATCCACCTTTGATTTTTGCACCATCAATTCAAATTGAAAAAGGCAAGTACTGTCTTAGTATTCTTATAAAAATACTTCTGACCTGTATACCTCCTGAAAAAGTCTTGAGGAAACCCGGGGCTTTGGGGACTATACTTTGAGAACTGCTGAGGTAGCCTATCCAGGTCAGTCCCCTGGGTCAGAAGGCAGCATGGAGAAAGGTGAGGAGTAGATTTTGGAGTGGTGGTGGGCAATAGGAAGATATGCAAAATAAAGCCTTCATCAGCACTCTGCTTTAGTATAAAATGCAAAACAAATCTCCATTATAAGACTACTTAATCTTTGGTTCCTAAGAGCTTGCAGTTTAGGAGAAGGGATAAGTCAAGTGTTCAGGTAACAACAGAAACTCAACAGTGGATGGGATCAAGACGGCAGAGTAGGAGGATGTGGACCTTACTTCCCCCAAAAAAACACATCAAAAATCAATCCACAAGTGGAACAATTTTCACAGAAAATCAGCTGGAAACTGGCAGAAGATTTCTTATAAAACCAAAGCTGCAAGAAAGACCCCCCCCCGCCCCCGCCGCCATGTATCCAGGTAGGCAAAAAGGCTTCAGGATGGGACTGGCATCCCTAGGAGGGATCTGTGAAGGAGGGGAGGGTCCCCACAGGCAGGCCTTCATCCTGGGAAGCCTCCCTGTAGCCTGGGACAGATAGAGGGGTTGTAGGAGCCTGGACTCTGTTCACGAGGAGTGCCTGTGTACTAGCTTGCTAGCAATCAGGGTAGAGAGAGACCAGTGCTGAAGGCTGCCGCCTAGCTGCACTTCCTAGCCCAAAACATGAGCCCTGTGGGGCTGCTAATACGCACAGCACCCACGTGCTGAAAATTGGGCAGACAAACCCTGTGGTCGGGGCTGAACCTTAGAGCCCATTGTCAAGGTGCCTAGAGCGGGGCACAGCTCCTGCAGTGGCAGACTTTGTTAGCACGCACATGGCTGGGACAGGGCTGACATCTGAGCCCATTATCAGCACTCACAGACTTAGGGCAGAGGGGAGGTCCGAGGGTGAGCCCAACACCTGTGGACTTTGTCGATATGTACACCGGGTAGTCAACAGCATCACAGATTTGCACAAGTCCAGTGGAAAGCCCCTGGGGAGGAGTATGCAGGGGTTCCTTTCCTGGTGGGAACACTCTGGTTCCACCTACCTCACACTGCAGCTTGGAGACGGATCTGGGGCAGACAAGTCCTGGGAAAGCCCTAATAGAGAGGCAGCCCAGGTCCCAGGCAACAGCGAAACTGTCTTGATTCCTGCAGGCACCATGCTCCAGGCTCTGGTGCCAGCCCAGAACTAGGTCTGGAATGAACACAGTAGAGAAAGGAATGCAACCTTGGGCTGCTTCTGGGCAGAACTGTGGATACCTGCACAGATGCTGCACAGGTTCACTGTGACCACATGGGCATCACTTGCTTCAGCACTAACCTCCTTGGGGACAGAACACACACTTAAGCACAAGGGACCCTTACTGAACCTGACTCTCAGGGCTTCTACTTCAACAACTGGAGAGCAGACTCTGCCACTGTCAGGGCTGTGACAGCCATGGAACAAAGAGGAGGCCCCGCCCAATATCCATTGCAGGCTCTAGACACCACAACATCAGTCACAGCCCCTATCAAGGGGATAACAGCCAACATACTCTGAGGAAAGATGTGGCAGCATCCATACCAAAAACAGCCCTTGCATAAAAATATTGGACTAACACAGTCTATACAGGGCCACTCCCACATAATAACAACACTTTAAGACCACGGTAGATAACTTTCTCTGTTTCTATGAATTTAGGAAGAATAGTTAAAAAGCAGAGAAAGAACAATACCGCAAAAGAATAATGAGAATGACCTTGCCAGTCTACTAGACCCTGAGTTCAGAAAGGAAGTAATAAAATGCTAAAGGAATTAAGAGTTATTGATAGAAATTCAGATCAGTGTAACAAGGAACTAGGAACTATCTTTCAAAATTAGACAACTCAATTACTGAGATAAAAACCAAACTAGAACCAATGAATAGCAGACTAAATAACAGAGAAGAATGAATAAGTGATCTGGAAGATAGGATAATGGAAAGCACCCAATCAGAACAACAGAAAGACAAATGGAATAAAAAGAAAGCAACAAACAAGATTAATGAGATAATATAAAGCATGCCAACCTATGCATAATAGATCTTCCAGAAGGAGATGAGAGAGAGAGAAAGGGATTAAAAATGGATTTGAAGAAATTATGTTGGAGAATTTCCTGTACCCAAAGAAGAAAACAGATATCCAGGTACAGCAAACACAGAGGGTCCCAAACAAGATGAACCCAAACAGACCCACACTGAGACATATCATATATATATATATTTTTTTTTGATGTGGACCATTTTTAAACTCTTTTTACTGAATTTCTTACAGTATTGCTTCTGTTTGATGTTTTGGTTTTTTGGCTGCAAGGCATGTGGAATCTTAGCTCCCTGACCAGGGATCAAACCTGCACCCCCTGCAGTGGAAGGTGAAGTCTTAACCACTGGATGTCCAGGGAAGTCCCGTGACATATTATATTTAAAAGGCAAAAGTTAAATATTCTAAAGGCAGTAAGAGACGACAAAGAGTCAGTTACAAGGGAATTCCCATAAGGCTATCAGCTGATTTCTCTGCAGAAATTTTGCAGGGCAGAAGGGAGTTGCATGATATATTCAAAGTCCTGAAAAGGAAAAATTTGCAACCTAGGATACTCTACCCAGCAAGATTATCATTTAGAATAGAAGGAGAGAGAAAGAATTTCTCAGACAAGCAAAAACTAAAAGATTACAGCAGTACTAAACCTAACCTAAAAGAAATATTCTAGTTCTTCTCTAAATAGAAAAGGTAGGAATCTATAGGAAAGGAAAGGCAAATAGATAAAAAAGATCGAGTATCAAATAAGTCAGTACAAAGATTAAAAGCCAGTGAATTTTTTTTGTAAAAGTGATTGTAACCACAATTAACAGCAGAAGGTAAACATGAAGATGTAAAATAGGACATCAGAATCACAAAATGTGGGGGAAGGGAGTAAAGAAAATGTAGATCTTCTAGAATGTGTTTGAACTTATACGACCAGCAGTCTAAAGAAATAGATATAGTTATGGGTTAATATACATGAAAACCAGGGTAACCACAAATCAAACACATACAGTAGATTCACAAAGAACAAAAAGAAAGGAATTCAAGCATAATACAAAAGAAAACTATCAAACCACGAAAGGAGAAACAAAAAGAACAAATGAAGAAAACTATAAAATCAACTGGACAACAAGGTTTGGCAATAAATACATGTGTAGCAATAATTACCTTCAATGTTAACGGACTAAGTGCTCTGATCAAAACATGAGTGGCAGATTGGATTAAAAAAACAAGAATATACAATATGCTGCCTACTTTAGGGTGAAAAGCACACACATATATTGAAAGTGAGAGGATGGAAAAAGATATTTCATGCCAAAGAAAATGACAAAAAAGCAGGGGTAGCAATACTCATATCAGACAAAACAGACTTTAACAAAGGCCATAAAGAAAGAAAAAGAAGGACACTATGTAATGATAAAGGGATCAATGCAAGAGGATGATACTATACCCAATATAGGAGCACCTAAATATATAAAACAAATACTAACAGACATAAAGGGAGAAATTGACAAGAATACAATAACAGTAGGGAATTTTAACACCCCACTGATATCAACAGACAGATCTTCCAGACATAAAGCAAGAGATCCTAAATGACACAATAGAACAGTGAGACTTAGTTGATATCTAAAGGACACTACATTCAAAAAAGCCAGAATACACATTCTTTTCAAGTGTGCATGAACATTCTCTAGAATTGCCCACACACTAGGACACAAAATAAGCCTCAACAAGTTTAAGAGGACAGAAATTATTTCAAGCATTTTTTCCTAACCACAATGGCATCAAACTAGAAATCAACCACACACACACAAAACAAAATCACATGGAGACTAAACAACATGCTACTAAAAAATTAATGGGTCAATGATGAAATCAAAAGAAGAAATCAGAAAATACCTCGAGACAAATGATAATGAAAACACAACTTTACAAAATCTATGGGATGCAGCAAAACCACTTCTAAAAGGGAAGTTCATAGCAATACAGGCCTTCCTCAAGAATGAAGAAAAATAAACAACCTAACCTACCACCTGAAAGAATTAGAAAAAGAACAAACAAAACCCCAAGTCAGTGGAAGGAAGGAAATAATAAAGGTCAGAGAGGAAATAAACTATAGATCAAAAAACAATAGAAAAGATAGATAAAACCAAGAGCTATTTTGAAAAGATAAATTAACAAACTTCTAGCCAGACTCACCAAGAAGAAAAGAGAGAGGAACCAAATAAAGAAAATAAGAAATAAAAGAAGAGGAATAACGACCTATACTGCAGATACAAAAAAATCAGAAAATACTATAAACAGCTATATGTCAACAATTTGGACAGCTTAGAAGAAATGGACAAGTTTCTAGAAACATACAACCTGCCAAAATTGAGTCAAGAAGAAATAGATAATTGGAACAGACCAGTCACTAGATGTGAAATAGAATCTGTAATAAAAAAAAACTCCCTGCAAACAAAAGTCCAGGACTGGATAGCTTCACTGGGGAATTCTACCAAATATACAAAGAACTTATGCCAATCCTTCTCAAACTATTCCAAAAGATTGAAGAGGAGAGAACACTCCCAAGTTCATTCTATGAAGCCACCATCATCCTGATACCAAAACCAGAAGATACTACAAAAAAAAGGAAAATTATAGGCCAATATCTTTGATGAATACAGATGCAAAAAACCTCAACAAAATATTAGCAAACTGAATCCAACAATACGTGAGAAGGATCATATACCATGATCAGATTGGATTCATTCCAGTGTTGCGAGGATGGTTCTACATACCCAGATCTATCAATGTGATACACCACATTAACAAAAGGCAAAAAACATATGATCATTCTCAGTAGACACAGAAAAAAAAAACCAATAAAATTCAACATCCATTCATGATAAAAACTCTCAACAATATGGGTATAGAGGGAATATATCTCAACATACTAAAAGCTATTTATGCCAGACCCACAGCCAATATAATACTCAATGGTGAGAAGCTGAAAGCCTTCCCACTAAAATCTAGAATAAGACAAGGATGCCCACTGTCACCACTTCTATTCAACATAGTATTGGAAGTCCTAGTCACAGCAGTCAGACAAGAAAAAGAAATAAAAGGTATCCAAATCAAAAGGGAAGAGGTAAAACTGTCACTGTTTGAAGATGTCATGATACTCTACATAGAGAACCCTAGAGACTCCACACAAAAACTATTAGAACTAATAAATTCAGCAAAGATTAATATACAGATATCTGTTGCATTTCTTTATACTAACAAATATCAGAAAGTTAAAAAAAATCCCATTTAAAACTGTCAAAAATAATAAAATACCTAGGAACAATCTTAACCAAATCTTAACCAAGGAGGTGAAAGACCTGTACACTGAAAACTCTAAAATATTGATAAAGGAAATTGACTATGATCCTAAGAAATGAAAATAAATCCCATGCTCTTGAATTTTTAAAATGACCATACTACTCAAAGCAATCTACAGATTTACTGTGATCCCTTATCAAAATACCCATGACATTTTTCACAGAATTAGGACAAATAATCCTAAAATTTTTATGGAATCACAAAAGACCCAGAATTACCAGAGCAATCCTGAGGGAAAAAATAAAGCTGGAGGCGTAACCCTCACAGGCTGCAGACAATACTACAAAGCTACAGTAATCAAAACAGTGTGGTATTAGCACAAAAACAGACATATAAATCAATGAAATAGAATTAAGAGCCCAGGAATAAAGCCATACACCTATGGTTAATTAATCTATGACAAAGGAGACAAGAATATACAATGGAGAAAAGACAGTCTCTTCAGCAAATGGTGTTGGGGAAGCTGGACAGCTGCATGTAAATCAATAAAATTAGAACACTCCCTCAAACCATATACAAAAATAAACTGAAAATGGTTTAAAGACCTAAATATAAGACATGGCACCATAAAACTCCTAGAAGAGAACACAGGCAAAACCACCTCCTAGAAGAGAACACAGGCAAAACCACAGGCATAAATCACAGCAATATTTTCTTAGATCAGTCTCCCATGGCAAAAGAATTAAAAGCAAAAATAAACAAATGGCAACTAATCAAACTTAAAAGCTTTTGCATCAAAGGAACCCATCAATAAAACAAAAAGACAACCTATGAAATGGGAGAAAATATTTGCAAAGGATGAGACCAAAAAGGGATTAATTTCCAAAATATACTAATAGCTCATACAGCTCAATACCAAAAAAAAAAAAAAAAACCCAACCCAATTAAAAAATGGGCAGAACGGGTGGGGGACAAAGAGGGATGGACTGGGCGTTTGGGGTTGGTAGAGGCAAACTGTTAAGAATGGATAAACAAGGTCCTACTGTATAGCACAGGGAACTATACAGTCTCCTGGGATAAACAATAATGAAAAATAATATAAAAAAAGTCTCTGTAAAACTGAGTCACACTGCTGTACAGCAGAGATTGGCACAACATTGTAAATCAACTCTACTTTAATAAAAAAAAATGGGCAGAAGACCTAAATAGACATCTCTTGAAAGAAGACATACAGATGGCCAACAGGCACATGAAAAGATGCTCAACATCAATAATTATTAGAGAAATGCAAATCAAAACCACAATGAGGTATCACCTTCCACCAGTCAGCATGGCCATCATCAAAACATCTACAAATACTAAACCCCGGAGAGAGTGTGGAGAAAAGAGAACCCTCCCACACTGCTGGTGGGAATGTAAATTGGTGCAGCCACTATGGAAAATGATCTAGCAATCCTACTTCTGGGCATATATTTTGAAAAGATGAAAACTCTAATTTGAAAAGATACATGCACCCCAATATTAATAGCAGCAGTATTCATAATTGCTAAGACATGGAAACAACCCAACTGCTCATCAACAGACAATTGGTTTAAGAAGATGTGGTATATATTTATACAATTGAATATTACTCAGCCATGAAAAAGAATGTAATACCGCCACTGGCAGCAACATGGATGGACCTAGAAAATTCTATACTTAGTGAAATGTCAGAGAAAGATAAACATCATATATCACTTACATGTGGAATCTAAAAAATAATATAAACGAACCTATATACAAAACAGAAACAGACTCACAGACATAGAAAACAAATTTATGGTTACCAAAGGGGAAAGGGTGTGGGGGAGGGAGAAATTAGGAGTATGGGATTAACAGACACAGACTATTACACATGAAACAGATAAGCAACAAGGATTTACTGTATAGTACGGGGACTATATTCAATATCTTATAATAACCTATAATGGAAAAAAATCTGAAAAAAAATAACTGAATCACTTTGCTGTATAACTGAAACTAACACAATATTGTAAATCAACTATATTCAGTTAAAATAAAACTCAAAAAGTATAGCTTAGTGTAATTGTAGCTCTTTTTTTCTTTAGTGGTATGTAAAATAAAATACATCTTTGAACTGATTCTTTAAGTCTTACATTCTATGATGTACGATAAGTAGAGAGAATCAAACGAATCACATGTTGGAGTGACCTGATACACCTCTGTCCATTCTAAGGTTTAACTGCCACTGGGACCAGTCCGGTCAGTCTTTGGGACAGATTTCCTGCTCCCTACGTGGAACACCATGCATACTTATTTTAGAAACACTTGGTTTTCTAGCCTTCCATTGTTTATGACTCTCCTGAGAGATATATTTTATCTTCTAAACTTATGAATGTACAAATGAATGGTGAATGAATAAATATGAATGGCCTAGAAGTCATTGCGCCTCCTTCAAGGGACTTCGCCTATCCACTCTGGTGGGATGATTTTGTACCTATCATCCCACCAGAGATGATAATTTCTCTGGTGTCCAATTTCCTTTCACCCTTGGATAGGAAGGATCATTTTACTGTCACCCTGTACTCCTTGCTCGCTATACATATGGACTTAATAAAGAAATGAGGCAGACGGATACACTATACTGCCTTCAGTCACTCTTCCACGAATGCCCAGCCTTGGCTCAAGAGGAAGGTAATGTTATCTGCAAACTGCAATCACCTGAGTTTACATTTGCAAGGGAAATGGTAACCTAGGAACAATCCTTTACTTCGAGGGGATTAGCGCTTCAGCTGATTTTGGACTCTTGTTTCTATAAATTTTTAACAGCTTGAAATGGCATTAAACTCTGCAGAGAGCACAGTATAATGCCACTAATCCTGTTGATCTTACATTACTTTACAGAGGCAAGAACAGCAATAAATCCTTTTATGTGTAAATCAGGAGAGATGTTAGCCATTTCTCTGCAAGGACATACTTTATTACTAGAGTTGGCTGATATTAGTTAGAACTCAAGTATTAAATTTGAAATGTCTTTTTTTCTTCCTTTTCTAGTCTACTGATTCTCTTCCTTCTCCCATTTCCCCTTCCCCAAATAACTGAACCTTTCCTATATCCATCCATCCATCCATCCATCCATCCATCCATCCATCCATCCATCCATCCATCCATGCATCAACTTGCAAAATCTCTGTGTCTGACCATCCTGCCATTTTAGGACATATTTCTGTAAAGCATTGTGACAGATGCTTTCTGAGGGAACACAGTAAGACCTGGTTTCTAAGATCTTGCTGTCTAGTGGGAGGGATAAGTCAAGTGCACAGGTAACAGAAACTTAAGGTTGGATTTGACAGGATATTGGTTAAGGGCAAGTGCTCAGCAGATGGTCTATGCTTGTCTCTATCATTTCCTACCTCTACATCCTCAGGCAAATCCTTTGATGTATCTGAACCTCAGGTTCCTCATCTGCAATGTCAACCACATATGATTGTTGTGATGATTAAATAAAGCATAAGTATTTAGCACAATGCTATTTATTGCCCTAAATAATATTAAATATAATTTGTGCTCAGAGATCTATAAGCAATAACCAAACTGATCCCTAAATTATTAATAGTACATTTACCTAACCACCAATAAAATGTATCGAATTTGGTTTTCATTGTATATATCTTTCAGAAATAAAGCTAGCCAAGAGGCCCTGAGCTGTTACCAGCATTATACATATAGTAAAGTTGTTTCTTACACAGATGATATGGCTATGCCTAAGAAAAGATGCTCCCTGAATTATCTTTCTCATGGTAGACATATGTTGTGGGAAGCCACCTGCACTGTTTCAACTAATCCCTACTCTTACAAGCAATGATATCCAAATGTGTTACCTTCCCAGAGCTGGATTTATCCGGACCAAAGACTGTCATGTCCAACATAGGTCATCATATTTGCTGTGCTTGGTCCGGTACAAACCAGTCCCACTGCCTTCAGCCAGTTGCAGGTTTGGCTGACCCCTGTGCTTCGTTTCTGCCCATCTCATCTTATACTAGTTTGAATCCCATCAGTTTCTACTCTTGAAGCACCTCCCCCGCCCCACCCCATGCCAACACAGCCATCACTGATTCATATAGGTTCTGGGGAAAGAAAGGACCACAGTCTCCAGAACTTCAGAGGACCAGAGGAGACCAATCTACTTCAAGACATTGGCAGTGTGGAGTTCCCACTGGAAGAGAGGAACAATGGGGGAAAAGGTAAAGGGCCTAGAATCAGAACCTCAGAGGGACTTCTGACCCCAGTTCTGATTTACTGTCATGCTGAACAAATTACTGAGACTTCGGGGGCCTCAGTTGACCCATCTACACAGTAAATATATTGTGCTAAATAATCTCAGCTTATTGCATTCACCAGTTCATCCATTTAATATTTATAAAGTGCACAATTCTGCACTGTGCAGAAGACACACTTCAATAAGGACTACACACACACACACCATGGCTCAGAATGTTATATGAGCCACAAAGAAATACAAAATGTGAGGGGTTGCAGCTGTTCTGTTGTGGGTCTTTAAGCTACTCCTCAGTTCTAACCATTAGGCAAGACCTATCCTTTATCTCTTCAAGTTTACTAAAATGCCACGGAGCATCATCTCTCTGGGGCTGTTGTCTCCTCTGGAAAATGAAGCAAATGAATTTAACAGCTATTTCCAAGAATTTTTTTTGAGAGGGGAGGTGAAGAGGGGAAAATGCATAAGGGATATATAATTCAGTGGTCACATAACTTTATCACATTTGTCTCCGAACCTCATTGTGAATTGGCCAGTGAAGATATCCTTATATTATTTTGATATAGCAAGAAACTGAGGCTCATAGAAGCTGAAGCACTTACTGGAGGAAAAATCAGGGTGAGGATGCTCGGTATAGTACTGTAAATATTATGCACAGAGAAGTAACGGCTAGGTTAATTCTCCAAACCCAAAACTCACTTTGGCCATCAATATTTTCTTCTCCTGATCTATAACACATCCAGGGAGGGGATGGTGTAGGGTGACACCAGTTTCTTGGTTAATAATCTTCATCTGAGTTGCGGTTTGTGTGTTTAGGATGAGCTCAGCCAGATGATGTTTCCTCCTGCCAGTAGGTGCCAGGGGAGGCAAATTTGTCTGAGTGGAAATAAAATCCGAAAGGAGGGAGCTTGGGTTGGGATATCCTGTTTGGTCACCCTACATTTAGCAAGCACCCACACTGCAAAGCCCACTGCAAAGCAGTAAAGACTTGAAAAAGACAGGGTCTCTACATCTTTTGGAGTTCCTGGTCAGCAGATGCATTACAAAAACAAACAAAACACCTTTCCCCTTTTCTAACAGGAAACATTAATGCAAATAGTTTCAACTAGAGTGAAAGAAACAAACAAAAAAATGCAACTTTGTTAAAGAAACTCCACATTTCTTACCCTCTCTCAATTGGACACATTCCTTAGTCTTAACTCTACAGACAACTACTCTGACATTAAGGAC